GAGTGATCTAGAGCTAGCCACATGCCTTTAAATAGAGCCCTCAACAAATAGAGCCATCGGGCTCACAGAGCACCAAAACACGGGCTAACCGAACGCGCCGGTCAGGTTGACCAGACGCTGGACCCCTGCGTCCGGTCATCCGATGCTCGCCACATCTCTCCTCTTTTGAATCTCCACCACGCTATCTCAACGGTCATCAGTGCACTTAAGTTGTGACCGGACGCGCTACAGTGAAGGACCGGACATAGGACCCCAGCGTCCGGTCACTTCTAGTAAGGTTCCAGTCATGACCGTACGTGTCCGGTCATGCCCGACCGGACGCAGACAAGCCAGAGTCCGATCGTTTCCAGAGAGCTCCCCGAACCTCTGTTTTGCGACCGAACACGTCCGCTCCTGTACGACCGGACGCAGTACCTGAGTTCGATCATTTTCCAACTGCCATGCATCACTGCTGTTCTTCATGCTACCATGTCAACGGACGTCAGTACTGACCAGACGCAGTTCCTGAGCATCCGGTCACTCTTCGCGCCAGCGCCCGGTCACGAGACCGAGACCGCTCGCTCACAGCTGCTACTGACCGGACGCAGGGTCAGAGTCCGGTCACCACGTGACCAGCGTCTAGTGTACTCTTTGAAACCCTGTCTTTTCTGTACAGGGCGCCGGTGGCACCGTCGGACTATCCGCCGGTGAAGTTTCGAACCCTTGCTCCCAAGTGCTAAACACAATGTGTATCACCTTTATGCATATGTGTTAGCATATGTTCACAATCATTTTCAAGGGTGTTAGCACTCCACTAGATCCTAAATGCATATGCAATGAGTTAGAGCATCTAGTGGCACTTTGATAACCATATTTTGATATGAGTTTCACCCCTCTTAATAGTACGGCTATCGAACCTAAATGTGATCACACTCGCTAAGTGTCTTGATCACCAAAACAAAATGACTTCTACCACTTATACCTTTGCCTTGAGCCTTTTGTTTTTCTCTTTCTTCTTTTCCAAGTCCAAGCACTTGATCATCACCATGGCATCACCATCATCATGTCATGATCTTCATTTGCTTCATCACTTGGAATGTGCCACCTATCTCATGATCAATTTGATAAACTAGGTTAGCACTTAGGGTTTCATCAAATTCACCAAAACCAAACTAGAGCTTTCACCTTGTCACTCAACCTCGCCTTCTCATGAAACAAAAGGTGCTCTCCTATCCAATCGGCCACCCCTCCTAGACCGTCCGATGCCTCCGCGCCTGGGGCAGTGCGTGCCCAGGGGGCAGCGCCACCACGTCTAGGGGCCAGGCCACCATGCTGAGGGCCATGGCACCGCGCGCCCAGGGGGCATCACGCAGCACCGTTGTGCCACGCCTAAGGGCAGTGCTGCAGCGATTTCCCCATCTTCGGTCTCTCCGATGGTGATGCACTTGTCCAGCCTCATGTACTCCCACTTCAATCGCATGGCTTCTCCCCTCCCCCATCATCGTGTCTGTTGAGCTCTGGCTTTCCTCTATATGTGCAGACCTGAAACAAATCAGTAAACCAGGTGAAGATCCATCATCTCGTGGTGTTGCGTCATGCGCGGTAATTAGTCCCTGCAGCTAAAGAAGGTTCAAGCGTGGCATCCCCTTGAAGCTAGAGAAGGTAATTCTAGAGAAGTTTGCTATGGCGGGGGTGATCGTTGATCAAGTGGACCGTCACTATAGGTACCACAAAGAAAATTGGAAGTACATTGCAACAAAATTGAGCAATAGTGGCAATACATTCGATGAAATCAGATGCATGGTGAATATTTCAAAATCTGAAAAAGCAACTTTATGTGTAAGTTGTTTGCACTGAATTTAATTATTATATATTCTATTTTAGAATCTAAAATTAATTCACTTGTTCGCATGAATATGAAATCAATTTGACGTTTCACATCTTGCCAACTCCAACCAGGCATGCTACAGTTGATAACACATCTTCCAGCACTAGTCAAGCTAGTAGGAAGCGTCCAAGAGCCAAGAACTCACCAACTAATATAAGAGGCCAAAAAACAAGAGCCATTTTGTAGATTCCACTCATGAAATAACTGCTACAGTGAAATCACTATGGGAAACACTTGTTGCCACTGCCCCTCCCCAAATGCCAAAGCATACTGATCCTTATGCATCATTATGGAAGAGACTAGAGGCAATCCCAATGACACCAGATCAGAGGGTTCTTGTTGGTGAACATTTGTTTACCAAGGAAAATAAAGGTAAGCATGGCTGGTTGTGTAATGCAAGTGGTGATACTCTGCATGCCTGGGTGTGTTCAAGTTCTTAAGTGAGAAAGAAGGCATTAACCTATGAAGCTTAGCTTTGATGGTGGTTGTTCATATTTTGTGGTGTGCCCAGGAACTTGGTTGTGTGCTTAATTTGGTTGTGGTGATGACTGATGGCTTGGGATGTATATAGTTGGATGTGTGCTCATTTTGGCTTTGTGGAACTATTCCTTGCTTGGTTGACTGCTGATTTTGTAATTAATATAATAAATCTAAACCTCCTTGGCTTAAACCTCCTAAAATGTATTTTTCATTGAACATGAAGCTTGTCATTTGTGCTTTTAACATTGTTCAAACATATGTCGGTTGTTAATTTTATTGTTGCTAGAATATGATTGTTCTTGAGAAATGGGTGGGTGTTTTTCACTCATCTGTGGCTAGAAACCAAACAGATGCCACAACCTTTTGCCAAGTTTCAGCGGAAGGGCTAGCGCCCGGTCGTCCGGATGGGCAGCGCGTCCGGAAATAGCTCGCTCGCCCACACCGTGGGGACCACCCGAGCCTGCTCTGAGCCTCCTTTGTCACGCATCTGCGGGAAAAAGGCTCGGTCGCCATGCCACGGGGACCACCCGAGCCTGCCCCGCTTTCACGCGCCTGCATTCACACACAGCAGCATCACCACCAGCAGGCGGCACAGTGGCCCATGCAGCAGCAATAGCAGCATACTTTTGACACATGCAATGACCCCATGGTGACCCACGCCCGCATGCACACAGAGCAGCACCAGCACCAGCAGGCGGCATGGTCATGTGCCCACATGCACGTAGCACCAGGCGGCACGATGACCCACGTAGCAGCAAGCAATATACTTTTGAAACATACAATGACCCAAATAACAGCAGCACCATGCAATTGCAACACGTGCTCCCCCGAGATCTACTTTTGAAACATCTAAATTAAATGTTTGTAACATACGCCTAAAACAGATAAAACACTTAAAACATGCATGTATAGTCATAGCAACATATGCAACATTCAGATGTACTTTTGCAACTTCCATATGAAACACTAGCAACATAAGTCTGAAACACTCGAAACATACGCTTGAAGCATACGTGTATAGCCATAGCAACATATGCAAAATCCACATGGAACACTTGAAACATTCGTCTGCAATACCTGAAACACTTGAAACATAGGCTTGCAACATGCGTATATTGTCATTCCAACATATGCAACGTCTCAGATATACTATTGTAACATCCAGATGAAACACATGACACAAAATTCTGAAACACCTGAAACATTTTAAACATGACGTCGCCGGCGGCCACGGCCTACCTGGTGGGAAACTGCGGTAGTCAGCAAGCTCGGGTTAGGGTGACGTCGCTCTGCGCGCTCACGCCCGTCGACGTGGCACGTCGCTCCTCTTGCGATTCCCCCACGCATGCTCGTGCCCATTGGTACGGGCCTCCTGTTGCTACTCCAGCGTGGCTGCTCGTTTGGCTATAGTCGTCCAGCGTCATCCGCTCGCGGGGGATGAGGCATGGCGCAGCCAGTGATGGGGTGCGGCGTGGTGGGGGGAAGGGCACGGCGCAGCGGAGATAGGCGTGCAGTGGGGGCGGGGGGATGAGCGGCCACGCTGCCATGCGCGCAGCCCGGCTCGGTGACGAGCGCCAGTCCTAGGCGGGGGCATGGGGCAGTGCCTTGCGGGATGCCTCTTGGGCGGCTCGGCCTCGGTGCTCGGGGCGGCAGCGCTCGCGCTCGAAGTCGGAGGTGGAATCTTGCTCGTGGCCTTGGGGGCTCGGGGACGGCCGGTCACTCTGGGTGAGGAGTTGAGATTTTTTTTAGAATATGGAGCCCGGTCTTGCGCATGTCTGGGAGCCGCACCTGGGCACGGGTCACGGGACGGACGCTCCGCTCGTGCCATATCATTATCGAAGTTTTTGTGGGAGTAATCCGAACAGCAGCCATACTTATTTTGCCAAACCTTAGTCAGTAACCAAACAATCTGTTTTTTGTCACAGCTTATGGCAAGCCACACATGTGGTTAGTACTTAAATTAGGCATGACAAACCGTGGCTGGCATCAGACATGCCCTATGACCGTGATGAAGTGCTTGTCACAGTCGGATGGTATACTAGATCGGCAGTGATCGAAGTATTATTACCGTCTACTCTCACTGACGAACGATGAAAACCGGCGGTCAAGAGGCATTTTGAACCAGCGGTGACAAGTTCGTGGGGTAGTGTTTGCTTAAATTCTTTTTTGTGTTCCGTGCAAGGATAGCCAATTGCTCGCTCGAATAATAAAGCCACATGCATGTCAGTTGGAATCCTTAGCAGCCCTGATAGGTCATTTGTTTTTTCTACGAGCATTCTTTTAGTAGTTCACATCAGTACGCGTTGAGTAGGTCCACATGAATAATATCCAACGAAAATGTGTGGTTCAGTTATCTAAGATGGAGTATTATTAGTCAAAGAAACCGATGCATGATGCGCGAGTGCTACTCGCCTATTTCTGAAACCTTTCCACGAAGAGTCGGTGAGAGCCTTGACTTTTGCATGAAAAGATCTTTATTTTCAGAGCGACGAAGCACCAGTTTTTACATGAACTTTATTCAGACCGACGAAGCATGCATGGTTTTTCCGATTGGTGAAAAAGACGCCCACACCACCCATAACGTAGCAAACTCGTCAATTACTGGTGATCACACTGGCACTATATATAAATAGTACTCTATATAACAACGTTTTCACTGCGCCGCCAGCTCAACCGCCACCGCGTTATTGAACGGCCTCTGGCCGTCGCAGTCGAGGTTGCTCCCGTAGCCGATGCGGAAGACATCGCAGTAGCGCTTGTAGAAGCCAATCCGGTCGGTCACACGGGGGTCGGCCCCGTGCCCGCACTCGATCCCACCGTTGATGATGTTGGTGACCACGCCGTACCCGGGCGCGCCCCGGCCGGCCGCCCTGTCCGCGGCCGTGGGCGTCCACTGCCCCGTGATCACGGCGTGGCACGACGGCTTGTTGTCCCGCGCGGTCATCCAGAACCACAGCGCCGTCTTGAAGGATACCACGGGGTCGGTCGCGACCAGGTCCGGGTTGTTGAGGAGGTCCACGCCGATGGCTCTCCCCGCCGGGCCGTAGTTGTAGTTGCTGATGATGGGATGAATGAGCTCGACATCAAGAGAGAAGAACGGTCGCGAACTACACGTTTGACGAGTGAAATGCATGCGTGTTTGGTTGCTTACAAGGAGATCTGGATGGGGCCGCGGCCGAAGTACTTCTTGCCGGGCGCGCACGGCCACTCCGGCCGCGGCTCGCAGTAGTTGGACGGCGGGCTGCGCTCCTCCTTGAAGCAGTAACCCCACGAGAAGGGCCCGTCAGGCGCGGAAGGCCACCCGCCCGTGGTCTCGTGGGAGGTCTGGCCCAGGAACGCCGCGACCTCCCGCTTCCGCTGCTCGTCGTCGCCGCCCGTCGTGCCGAAGGCCGGGAACGCGGCCGCGGCGGCGAGGAACGCGTCGTAGGTGTAGAACCCGCGCGCGGGGCACGCCGCGTCGCTGCGGTGGAGGAGCAGCCGCTCGAAGAGGTCCCTCGGCACCACGGACGCCACGCCGGGGCCCGCGGGGCCGCAGCCGCTGCACTGGCTCTGGCACCCGGCGCCGCAGTAGTCGGAGGTGTTGCCGCAGAAGCCGAATTGGCTGCAGCAGAGGCAGTCACGGCACGTCGCGCCGCCGGCCTGCGACCCGCACTGCTGGCCGCTCGCGAGCACGAGCGCCGCGGCCAGGACGCACAGGACTGCCGCCGCTGTCGTCGCCAGGCTCGGGGCTCCTCCTGATGTCGACATACTTTGGTCTTTTGCCGGGTAAGGCGCGGACTGCCGACATTTTATACACATGGATTCTGTCAGTGCTGGAGCAAAGTCGCCGCACGTTGCTTCGTTGCGCTTTCCTCCTGTCCACTCCATGTCCTTGAGATGAGAGAGGAGCACTTTAGTCTCCACGTGCTCCCACGAGACTTCCGCCCGTTGAACATGGAACATTTTGGGCTCTTTTGCCGGGCACATACCATGTTTGGGCATTAGGCCTCGTTTAGATTCTAAGTTTTTTCACTCTCTTTATCACATCAAATTTTTGGACATATGTATGGAGTATTAAATGTAGATAAAAAAATAACTAATTACACAGTTTGATTGTAAATTACGAGACGAATCTTTTGAGCCTAGTTAGGCTATGATTGGACAATAATTGTCAAATATAAACGAAAGTGCTACAGTGTCAAATACTGATTCCCAACCATCATCTAAACAAGGCCTTAGATGGATCAATGTACCCTATCTCAAATTTTCACTATCTGTCACGGGCCGCGCTTATTGCTTACTCCCTCCCTCGGTCCCTTTTAACTATCGTTTTCACTTCCAAAAAAAATCAAACGTACTCAATATATGTGATACGTAATTAGTATCATTGAATTTATTTTTATAATAAATTGATTTGGAGATATAAATATTACTAATATTTTCTATAAATCTAATCAAATTTAAGAAAGTTTGATCGGTACATGTCCCATAGCGACACTTAAAAAGTGGAGGAAGTAGTTTATAAGAAACAATGGATTTTCTTATCTTAAAAATATAACCAACACGCAGCATGAGAGCTGTCTGTTATATTAAACTAGCAAAAATGCACATGCGTTGTAACGGAAGAAAGTTACAAGGTCATAGAAAGCCTTAACATGTATGTGTTGTTTTGTCTTTAAAGATATAATATTTTTTTACATCATTATATTTTTATTGCACTCGACATTATTTGGTAAAAAAAACTCCTTATGCTAGGTAAAAACTATAAAATGCCCATAATACCCTTTTTTATTTCCATTCTTTTTCTTTTTCTACTCTCTTCTTTCTTATCCTTATTATCAGTTAGCTCAGAGTTGCAAGGCCTCATCCACTCGCACCTAAGGTCTCTAACTTCGTCCACCCGAAGCCTTGCCAAGGCGTCCATGGAGCCTTGATGGGCTAACGGTCATAGCACCCCGGCAGCCACAAAGCCCCGACGCGACCAATGCTCCGGCAGTTCCATGAGACGACGCCCTGGTGGCCGGCCGACCACAAGCCCCAACGACTCGGTAGCCTCATCAGTGTCGTTGTCTCCTTGCCCCACCCCGCATCGTCGCCGTCACTCATCCTCACCTCGGTCTCGCTTACGAGTCACGACGCCATCTCGTCAGGTCGCGCCACCGTTGCCTGACCTCGTCGTCGTCTCTGCGCCTCGTGCCATCGTAGTTCTTGTTCAGACCTCAGCATCTTTTTGTGCCGCCTCGCCTGCGCCGCCGATATGATGCCTTGTATATATGGTTTAATTGGTGTCCAATTTAACCCAATTTGTACTCAATTTATGGAGTCGTTGCATTGTATTCCATTTGTCCTATTAGATTCATATATGGGAGTCCAAGTTAGAGATTAGGCCCTTGGTATATCATCACGACCGCAGAATGGAGCGGAGGATTAAAGCAGGAGGCAAAACAAAAAAATTTGGTGGCCGAAGTTTTGGCACTTTAATATTAAAAAAAGTTCATCGCCGATGGACTCTAATGGGACTTGGAAAAACAGAAACAAAAAAGACATCAAAATAGAAAAAAGAACTTTGAACGAAACTAATTTCATGGCCCATGGACTCCAACCGAAACTGAAAAAAAACATAAATAAAAAAGACATCAAAACAAGACTCAAGCTGAAAAAAAGACGTAACTTGGAAAATAGAAATAAAAAATACATCAAAACAAGAAAAAGACTCTAACGGGAACTAAAAAAAAATCCACAAAATATATGGAAACAGGAAAAGCCTCACGTCTTGTACGTGACTGGATAGTTTCTAAGGCAAAAAAAAAAAGAAAAGTCCTAACATTTTTGGAAAGAAAATAAAGATAGAAGAGAAGAGAAATAAAAATATTCTTTCCTATTTGGATTAGGATTCCTATTCAGTACTCACATAAAGAACTCTATTTGGATTAGGATATACGTATGAGCACGGGTTATATATATAAGTCTGGACGGAAAAAAAACTGTCTATTATCTGGTAGTTGGAGGGAGACGGACCAAAAAATAGACAGACAAAAAGAGGCTAAAATTTTGCATCTTTATTATTAGAAAATAGGTATAGATATAGATAGTAGAAAAAACTAGAAAGGCGTTATAAAGTATAAACAGTAGGAAAGACAACACAACACCAGCGCTCAAGTGCCTACACCCTCGGAGTTAGATTAGCCAAGTGTTTGGCATCTACCGCTGTTGGGGCCTGTACCCTTTGTTGGGTGGCGAAATCATCTTCAGATAGCCGAGGTGTCTAGCCTAGTCCAAAGAGCGAAAGGAGCTATCTTCAGAAGGCCCGAAGGCACGCAGGGGGTACGAATCTAGGGCCAGATTGGTCCCGCTTCCAAAATTTATCATGTTAAAGTTTTTTTTATAGGAGCCATGTTAAAGTTTTGGCAAGTCATGATTTTAACTGGTATTTGGTTTGCTACCAAAACTTGCTAAACTCTCAAATCTGTGGTAATATTTTTGCCTAACTTTTGACTTGGCAAATATTTGGCATGGCAAATTTTGAACCTCAATCAAGCAGGCCAAGCCTAGAAGGTGTGCTGCGGATATGAAATTATCAGGCTCTAAGAAGTCAAATCTGACTTGGATTCATGTATATTGAAAGGACTAAAATGTTCCTATACCAATAGGAATATGCTCAGAATCTTTTCTTAGGGTACGGGCATTTCGGTCCGCTGGTCACTATACATAGCAACCACCTCACTATTCTATTCTCGCGTTCTAGTTCGACACCAACAGTCAAGACTTGAGTTGTGGACAATGGCCTCTATCCAAAAGGGATGCCTCCTCCTTGATGTTCTGAGAGAGCACCACTGCCGCACCATGTCACTGCAGCAAGAGGTTCTTCTCTTGATGGACCACCACTGCAGCACCATGTCACTCGTTCCCCCAATTATTTGCCCTGAGATTGGCATCACCTTCCTGGGTTGCTAGATCCTCCTATCATGCTCGCTCTCTCTCTCTGGGTATGATAAGCTATGCGCCCGTGAGGACCTATGACGGCCCTTCCAGTAGTGGGCCATGAAGCAAGTCGTAGGTGCCTTACGGTACTTCCGTGCTTGGGTCTGGTGGACGGCCACAGCGATTAGTGACAGGAGCCCCAAATCCTTTTGATCTTGTTGGGATTAATTGGTGGTCTTGTATCTGATGTGGTTGTTGAAATGTGATTGGTTTGGCTAATCCTGAACTTAATTACGAGATTAATTAAACGTTAAGCTTTTGGTCCACCCACTCGTCATTTATTTCTAACTAAATAAGAATTGATATGATCAACGGCAACCCTTAAAATTCTAAGGGTTTGCCCCCCCGACCCACAGCGCGATTATAAATAAGAGAGGCACCCCTGGTGTCACAATCTCTCTAATACACGTGACTATTCACATAACCGATCGATTAGGCGCTGGAGGGTTTAGGAAGGTCGTCTACCCACATCCAGGTACTATTGCAGATCTACATCGCGTTCTTCACTAACTAAGAGCATCAAGCCTCAATCTAGTAAAGACTAAGATCTATTTCATCTACATCAACTCTTCTACGTCTACGGAGGCACTCAGATGGCATCTACAAACTCTAGTTAGTATCAAATTAATTTCCACATCAGATTTAGTTAGTGATCATATTTAGGCTAAGATAAGATCCTGTTAGTCTAAGTTCTAATTCAACAATTGGTATCAGAGCCTGCTTAGATCCTAACATGATCCTAGGCCAGAGTGTATTAGTTTTATGCCTCTGTCAAGATCCATTCAGTTGTAATCTACTATATTTTAAGTTGGACATTAGCACGCACTCAAAGCAGATCCGTTTTGTGATTGTTACGTCAGTTCTAATGGGCTATTAGTACTGAGCTTAGATCTGTTTTCGTGTTTAAGTACAAATGAGTACTAAGTAAGATTGTTTCATAACACTAATTTTGGATCCTGCATATGCAGTTTCAGTTCGCTAAGCAGATATATGATTATGATCTAATGATGATTCTAGTAACATGCACAAGACAATTTTTCTCGCGTGATTAAGTGATTAAGTCTTAATTACTTTTGAGGAAGCCATAAGTGCCCAGTTAGATAAGATCAGACGCATTCAGTCTCAGATTAAGAATCAATCTAAGCAATTAGTCTCGGATTAGTTTATATTTTCCTGCGATTAAGGGTGTTTTCCACCAAAATTAATCCGAGTTGAACATTTAGGAGGGGATTGAATCAAATCAGTGGCGATAAACAAAATCCCCAAAAATTCTTTCCCCAAATCAGGAACACTAACCCTAAGATCAGACATGGAGCGTGCACCCGCGTGGCTCGTACCCGGCGTTGTAGGTCGGGTCGCCGCTGCCGGCTGTGCCGCCCCCAGCTGTGCGTGCGCGTGGCTCGTACCCGTGTTGTTGGCCGGGTCGCCAACGCTCTGTGGTGGCTTAAGGGCGCCACCGGACTGCGTTGCGCGCGTGAGGGCCTCGGGTAGCAACCGCCGCCACGCTGGTCTCACGGCGCTGCTGCGTTTACTTGTCAGGCTTTAGGAGCACCGCCGTCGCTGCGGCCTTGAGGGGCACTGGCGCTTGCACCCGCCCGCACGGGTGCCATGCCTAGCGCGCATCGCACCGTCGCTCGGCTGATTTTGGGTCGCCGTTGCCATGCCACATGAGGGCACCCGGCTGCAGAGCTCGACGGAGCCGTGCGCGGCCCTACCGCACATGCGCGTCGGCGAGCCGAGCGCTGTGGTGCTTGTGGCTTCGAGCGGGAGCGGCGCAGTGTTGTAGAGCAGCAGCCGAGCAGGAGAGCTGGCTGGAATAGGGGGAGTGAAAAGAAGAAGAGAGTAAGGAATGTGGCTAGGGTTTTTCAGAGTGGCTTAAGTATGTTATCGTCGTTTGCCTTTGGCATCTCCCAATCGCTGATCTATCTATCCAATGGAACACACAACTCGCGCATTAGCTGGAAGGAGAATGGGTCGTTAGGCGGCCTATTGATGTATAGGCGAGCGTGAAATGGGCCGGC